CCCGCCCCCAGGCGCTTCCACGCCTCTGACGTGGCCCCGCCCAGACACGCCCATATACGGGCGTGGTCCAGCCGGATGCCCCGCCCCTATCCCCGCCCCCAGGCGCCTCCACGCCTCTGGCGTGGCCCCGCCCAGGCCCCGCCCCCAGGCTCCTCCATTCCACCGGCGTGGCCCGCCCAGTCCCCGCCCCTCCGTGGGCGTGGTCTAGCTCGGATGCCCCGCCCCGAGGTCGGGCGCGCAGCACCTGCGCGCAGTGCGCAGAGCGGCGGGATGGAGGAGGATCAGGCGTGGGACACCCACGGCCGTGAGTCCGAGGCGCCAGGGCTGGGGGACACGGGCGGATCGAGGCTGAGGGACCCCCCCCACCCCATGCTCGAGTAGGGCGGCCAGCTGAGGTTGACGGATCCGTTTGGCCACCTCCGAGCGGACCCAGGTGTATTGGGGGGGCGTCGGGGGTGGGGTGGGGGGGACGTTATCTACAAATGGAGAGAATCAGGATCCTCACGGGTGCTGGCTTTGGTGCTGGGCCCTAGAGGGCAGGACGTCATTCAGCCTCTCAGCAGCCATTCGAGAGATACCTCTGGCCATCTCCATTTTGCAGATGAGCAAGTTGGGGCGCAGCAGGGTGCTTAACTAAGTTGCAGGGGGTCACAGGTAAGTGATAGAGACGGTGGGAGGGGGCGTGGCTTCCAGCATCCACTGGCTTAGCGTGCGCAATGCCGGGCCCAGGTGGGCGCTTGGGCGGCCTGGGTGGGTCAGCTAGCTTGCTGCCCTGTCTGGGAGCCAGGAGAAAAAGCTTGTGAGTCCTTAATCCTGTTTTCTAGGCTGTGTGTGTATGTGAGAGAGAAAGGGGGGGGGGTGGAGAGAGGAGGGAGAGAGAGAGGGGAGAGAGAGAGAGAGATCGAGAGAGAGCATGCAAGAGCACCGAAGCTTCTAGGCCTTGCTTTTTTTTGAATTAAGATGGGCACTTTATCACTGGAGCTGAGCTACACCTCAATTTACAGCTTTTTGCTGGCTTAATTAGACATAAGTCTTACAGACTTTCTTGCCCAGGCTGGGTTTGAACCACAAGCCTCAGATCAGCCTCCTGAGTGGCCAGGGTTACAGGTGCTTGGCTCTCAAGCTGAGTCTTGACGGGTGGTTCCACCTTTCCTCACCTACATCCTCCTGGCATAGCTCATTGGGTGTCCAGTATACTGAAGCAAACCTTACCTGTTCAGCTGAGGGGTAGTGAACTCCATCAAGGTTCTGATTATTAGGGCCAGTGCTCACATCTGTAATCCTAGCCACCGAGGAGGTGAAAATGGAAAGGTCCCAGGTTGGGGATAATTCCCAGGCAAAAAGCTAGTGAGAGCCTGTCTAGAAAATAAGTAAAAGCAAAATGGGCTTGGGGCATGGTGCAATTGGTAGAGTACTTGCCTAGCAAGCTGAGACCCTGAATTCAATCCCTGTACATTTTAAAGAAAGAAAAGAGGTTCCAATTATTTCAAAGGAGGCACAGGATCAAGGGTAGGGGGAATCGCACATTCAAAGTTTGAGTAGTGGCAGGGTGCTGATGACTCATGCCTGTAATCCTAGCTATTCAGGAGTCTGAGATTTGAGGATCAGGGTTCAAAGCCAGCCCAGGCAGGAAAGTCCATGAGACTCTTATCTCTAATAAACCACTAGAAAACTGGAAGTGGCGCTGTGGCTCAAGTGGTAGAGTTCTCGGTTTGAGCTGAAGAGCTGAGGGATAGTGCCCAGGCCCAGAGTTCAAGCCCCACCCAAAACAAAAAACAGTAGTGCAGCTGTGGCTCAAAGTAGTAGAACACTAGCCTTGAGCACAAAAACTCAGGGACAGCGCTCAGGCTCTGAGTTCAAGCCCCACCACTAACAAAATTTGAGTATCCTTGGAGCATTCAGTGTGTGGGAGGAGCTTGTGAGTTGAAGCTTCAGTTGGATAAAAGTCTCAGAGGCTAAAGAATGTAGTGTGCATTTGCTATGGCTGAATGCATGGGGTAAAGTGGATGGAAAAGACAAGATCTATATGTTTGTGTGTGTGTGTGTGTGTGTGTGTGTGTGTGTGTATGTGTCTTGGTACTGGGACTTAAGCCTAGTTACTGTCCCTTAGCTTTTTCGTTCGAGGTGAACTCTCTGCCACTTGAGCCATAGCTGTACTTCTGGCTTTTTTTTTTTTTTAATTAGTGGTTAATTGGAGGTAAGAGTCTCAAGAACTTTCCTGCGAGGCTGGCCTTGAACCATGATCCTCAGATCTCAGCCTCCTGAATGGCTAAGATTACAGGTGTGAGGCACCAGCTCCTGGCTTCAGGATCTGCTTTCATCCTAATGTGATCTCTGGCTGGCTACATACAGTGTTTGCTTCTTCCTATAGAGACTTTTGTTGTTCAGCAGCATAAACCAGCCCAGTCCCCCAGGCTTCAGCAAAGAGAGTGTATCCGAGCTGGCAGGGCCCTGTACAAATCCCTTTCTGCCCCTGCTGTGATTTTCCAGCTGATGAAGTCACTTATGAGGGAGATGTGACTCTCCACTATCCCAGGTGGTGCTGCTGGAGTGTGGCATGCCGGGCACTGGAGCCCAGCCTGAGCGGCTCACAACCAAAGTGCCAGCTCTTCTTTTTTTCCAGTCGTGGGGCCAGAACTCTGGGCCTGGGCGCTGTCCCTCAGCTCTTCATCTCAAGGCTAGCACTCTACCACTTGAGCCACAGCGCCACTTCCAGTTTTCTGGTTGTTAATTGGAGATAAGAGTCTCACGGACTTTCCTGCCCAGGCTGGCTTTGAACTGTGATCCTCAGATCTCAGCCTCCTGAGTAGCTAGGATTACAGGCGTGAGCCACCGGTACCCGGCTGAAAGGTGCTCTTCTACAGTGTGTTCGGTTATTCATCGTTTCCTTTCCCTTCTTTTCTCCTTTCCCTCCCTCCCTCCCTCCCTCCTTTCTTTTTCTTTTCTTCTTTTCTTCTTTCTTTCCTTCTTTCTTTCTGTGCTAGTACTGGGGCTTGAAATCAGGGCTGCATGCTTTCCTTTGGTGTTTCTGCTGAAGGCTGACACTCTACCACTTGAGCCACAGCTTCCACTTCTGGCTTTTTGCTGGCTAAACGGAGATGACAATCTCACCAGCTTTTTTGCCTGGGATGGCATTCAACTGTGATTCTCAGATCTTTGCCTCCTAAGTAGGATTACAGGTGTGAGCCAGCAGTGTGCCCAGCTTTTGTTTTTTTTGCTAGTGCGGGGTTTGTATCTAGGCCCATACAGTAGCTTGGCAGGTGCTTTCCCACTTTGAGCTACAACATAAGCCCTTTTTGCTTTAGCTTTGTGTGTGTGTGTGTGTGTGTGTGTGTGTGTGTGTGTGTGTGTGCGCACTGGTCCTGGGGCTTGTGCTCAGGGCCTGAGGGCCTGAGCACTATCCCTGAGCTTTTGTGCTCAAGGCTGATGCTCTACCACTTTAGCCACAGCTCCACATCTGACTTTTTGGTGCTTAATTGGAGATAAGAGTTTCATGGAGGGCTGGGAAGGTGGACAGTGCTTGCCTTGCCTGCATGAGGCCCTGGGTTCGATTCCTCAGCACCCCAGAAGCAGAAAAGGCCAGAAGTGGCACTGTGGCTCAAGTGGTAAAATGCTTACCTTGAGCTGAAGAGCTGAGGGACAGCGCCCAGGCCCAGAATTCAGGCCCCACAACCAAAAAAAAAAAAGTTTCATGGACTTTTCTGTACAGTCTGGCTTCAAACTGAGATCCTCAAATCTTCGCTTTCCAAGTAGCTAGTATTACATAAGGCATGAACCTAGCTTTAGTCTTTTTTTTTTTTTTTTAATAAGGTCTCTTATTTTTTGCCCAGGCTGGTCTGGATTGTGGTTCTCCTCTTTATGCCTTTCCTGTAGCTAGGATCACAGCTCTTTATCACTTACCCAGCTTTTATTGGTTGAGATGGAATCTCATGAAGTTTTGTCCCAACTTACCTTGAATCATGATCCTCCCAATTTTCACCTTGCGAGTAGCTAGAATTACAAGTGTTAGCTACTATTCCTGATCTTTCTTTTTCTTCCCTCCCTCCCCCCTCCTCCCCCTCCCCCCTCCTCCTCCTTCTCCTCTTCTTCCTCCTCCTCTTCCTCTTCTTCGTTCTCTTCTTTTGTCAGTTGAACTCAGGGCCTGAGCACTGTCCCTGAGCTATTTTGCTCAAGGCTAGCGCTCTAGCCCATTGAGCCACAGCTCCACTTTGGTCCTTTTGGTGTTTAATTGGAGATGAGAGTTTCATGGACTTTCCTGCCTGGGCTGCCTTGGAATCATGATCCTCAGATCTCAGCCTCCTGAGTATCTAGCATTACAGGCGGGGCCACCAGTACCCTGCTACTATTCAAACTTTGAATGTGAGATTCCCCTACCCTTGATCCTGTGCCCCCCTTTTGAAATAATTAGAATAATTAGAAGGTGGAATACCTCCTTTCTGACAACTTCCACAGGGAAGTTCCCATCTCCATTTTGCAAATGAGGAAACTGAGGCACCAGATAATCACGTAACATAAATCAGTCATGTAGCCAGGAGTTGGACCCTGGACCATGTGATTGTCTGGGCCATAGCTGTGAGGTCCTCAGACACTTTCAACACGCTCTTCTCCAGCTGCAAGGCGGTGTGGGATTTCTCTGGAAAAACACTCCGCACAGCAGGCTTGTCCTTAGCACACTGGCCACCTGTCCCTGGATACACATGGGGCTGGGCTACAGTAAAAACCCAAGATTACCTGCCTCCCTCCCCGCAAGGACTGTGCAAAGGGCCAGACCAGTCAATATTTGTCCTCTTACCAGGGTTTCTGGGCCCTGCTTGGGAGAGAAAGGCATCTGTGTGTCTGGATAGGTGTTGTCCCACAGAGAAGCAGAGTTTGGGGAGTCTCTCCGGGTGCCCAGCTTGCAGCCTGCTGAGAGCTGTGTTGTACGGGGAAGAGCAAGGGGTGGCCAGGGCTCCAGGGAACTGTGGTTCAGCCAAGGACAGTAGTCAGGATGACTGAGGTGGGGTGCTATGGATGAGACCCTATTATCAGGCCTGGGGACTCCTAGCTCAGATGGTAACCTGCTGCCTGGCCTGAGCGCACGGCGGCGTGGGGACGGTGGCTCAGCAGGGTCAGCTCTAAGGCTTTCTTAACCTGAGAAGTGGAAACTGTGGGGAAAGGCAAAGCAAGGCTGCACCTCAGGACAGAGTGGTGACAGGGTTAGGACTGCGGAGTGGAGAGAAGGTTTCCACACCTGGACTGCGCTGGGAGCGTAGTCTTGCGGTGGACTCATGCAGTCCTGGCTGTCTTTCTGAACCAGACAATGCCCTGAGAGAGAAATGAAGTCCATCCATTTCCAGAAGAGCAGCTCTTACAGAATGGGGGGGGATCCTCTTCTCACTGACACGACCCCCCCCCACAGTGCTCCCCCTGGAGAAGCAGCTGCACCAGGCCGCCCGCCAGAACCACATCGAGAGGATGAAGGAGCTGATGGAGAAGAGGGTTAATGTCAGGGCCAGAAACCACGTGCGTACTGGGCCCTGCATGGCGCCCCCCTTCCCCCATCCACGCGATTGCCATGGAGGTCTTGGACATCTTGGGTAGTTGGGGCCTGGTCCAAGGTCAGGGTCAAGATTCTAAGTTGAGCTTAGCCGTTCCAGAGTCAAACTCAAGAATCATTCTGGCCTATTTGATAGGACAAAGAGTAGAAACAGGAGGGCAGGAAGATAAAGGTCAGCCGGCAGAGATCAGACACTAGATGGGCACTGGTGGCTCATGCCTGTAATCCTAGCTACTCAGGAAGCAGAGATCTGAGGATCAGGGTTCAAAGCCAGCCTGGGCAGGAAAGTCCATGAAAGCCTATTTATTTATTTATTTGTTTACTTTTTATGTATTTATTTATTTATGTCAGTTGTGGGGCTTGAACTCTGGGCCTGGGTGCTGTCCCTCAGCTCTTCAGCTCAAGGCTAGCGCTCCACCACCACCATTTCCGATTTTCTGTGGTTTATTGAAGATGAGTCTCATGGACTTTCTTATCTGGGCTGGCTTTGAACCTCAATCCTCAGATCTCAGCCTCCTGAGTAGTTAGGATTACAGGCCACCAGCACCCAGCTTATGAACCTCTTATCTCCAATTAAACATGAAAATGTCGGGCTAGGAAGGTGGCTTAGTGGTAGAGCACTTGCCTTGCATGCATGAGGCCCTGGGTTTGATTCCTCAGCACCATATACGCAGAAAATGCCAGAAGTGGCGCTGTGGCTTAAGTGGTAGAGTGCTAGCCTTGAGCTGAAGAGCTGAGGGACAGCGCCCAGGCCCAGAGTTCAAGCCCCATGACTGGCAAAATAAAATAAAATAAAATGTGTGTGGGAAGTGGAGCTGTGGCTCAAAGTGGTAGAGTGCCAGCCTTGAGCAAAAGAACTCAGGGGCAGTGCTCAGGTCTGAGTTCAAAAGAAAGGAAGCAAAAAAAAAAAGAAGTTAGTCACTGAGAAGCACAGGAAGGGCAGCAATGGGGAAGCAGAGGTGGAAGATGCCTGTGGGCGGAAGTTCAGAGGTTCAGGACCAAGAGAGGCCAGAATCTGCAAACTGGGTGTGTGTGTGGCAATGATCCCTTTTGACCAGGCTCAGGGTCATTGGGGGAGGTCAAATGAGGTGAGCCTGCTTCCCAGGCTCAAGGGAAGGATGCAGGTAAGTGGGGGGATGGACCAAGGGGGTGTCCTTGGCCTGAAGATAGAAGGAAAAGCCAGTTCTTCTGGAAAGATGGTGAGAACTGGCATGGGTGCCACTCAGGTAGCCCTTCCCTTCCTTGCTGTGGGACTTGTGGCTGGAAGGTTCTGGAACTGAGATTCCTGAGGGTGGCAGGGGCTACACAGTATGGGGGGACACTACAGGGAACAGTAATAGCTGTAGGATTTTGGCTGCTTGAACTCAGGGTTTCCTTCCTCAGCTTTTTCTGCTGACAGCTGGTGCTCTACCACTTGAACCACAACTACTTCCAGCTTTTTGCTGGCTGATTGGAGATAAGAGTCTCTTGGATTTGTCTGTCCAGCCTGGCTTTGAACCTCAGTCCTCAGATCTCGGCCTCCTGACTAGTTAGGATGATAGGCATAAGCCACTAGTACCCAGACCCCTTGAGTTTTTCATTTGTTTGTTTGTTGTTGTTTTCATGCTGGTCTTGGGGCTTGAACTCAGGGTCTCAGGCGCTTTTGCTGAGTTTTATGCTCTACCAATGGAGCCACAGCTCCACTTCCAGCTTTTTGCTGGTTAATTGGAGCTAAGAATCTTACCAACTTTCCTGCCTGGGCTGGCTTTGAACTTGACCCTCAGATCTCAGCCTCCCGAGTAGCTAAGATTGCAGGCGGGAGCCACTGGCACCTGGCCCATTGGGAGTTTTGAGATGCAGTGGACGGCGGTGCCGGGCAGAGCCTTGTAGGCTCTTAGTAAGAAGCCATGAAGGCAGATGGACAGGTGGGTGACAGGTGAGCCCAGCACTGTGTTTTATGTGTTTTTGTTTGGGCCTCGTTAGGGAGGAGGGCCTGAGTAGGGTCGGATTCCCCCCCCCCCCCCCTGCCAGCTGGACAGAGCCAGTAAGGGACCTGCCAGCCTGCAGACCAGCTGTCATGGGGGGAAGGGTGTGGGAGGCAGGCCAGGCAGCCGGGTGGCAGTCACAAATTTCCTCTTCCCCAGCAGGTGGGCCGGGTGGCCCTGCACTGGGCCGCAGGCTCTGGGCATGAGCAGGCGGTACGGCTGCTCCTGGAGCATAAGGCTGCTGTGGACGACGAGGATTCGGTAGGCATGTTTATGTATTTGGCCTTGCAGGGGTGGGGCATCCAAGATCTTACCTTTAAAAAATTTATTATTATTAATTGTTATTATGATTATTTTCTGCTTGCCATGAGGCTTGAACTCAGGGCCTAGGCACCGTTCCTGAGTTCTTTTGCTCAAGGCCAGCGTTCTACCGCTTGAGCCACTGTTCTACTTTCAGTTTTCTGGTGGTTCATTGGAGATTAGAGTCTCATGGACTTACCTGCTTGGGCTGACTTTGAACCATGATCTGCAGATCTGTCTCAGCCTCCTGAGTATCTAGGGTTACAGGGTTGAGCTACCAGAACCTGGCTATCCATTCTGTTTGTTTGTTTTTGTTTTTGTTTGTATGTGCTTGTTCTGGGGCTTGAATTCAGGGCCTTCCCTGAGTTTTTTTTTTTTCTCAAGGCTAGCACTCTACCACTTGAGCCATGGCTCCAACTTCCAACTTTTTGATGGTTAGTTGAAGATAAGAGCCTCATGGACTTTCCTGCCCAGGGTGACTTTGAAACTGCGATCTTAGCCTATTGAGGAGCTAGGATTACAGGCATGAAGCACCTGTACTCGGCTTTTCGATTGTTTTTGTTGAGATTGTTGTTGATACAAATGCTCAGGTCCAGACTGGCTCCAGTTAGTCTTCAGGGCCCAGTTATTCCATGGTCCCTGTGCAGGAATAAAGAACTCTAGTATCAAGCACCTTACAAATCGGGAGACCTTCCCATCCCTGGATCCCATGTGGACAACAATAGACTGCCCAGTAATTGGTGGTTTGATAAAGACCTAGTTAGCAAAGTAATCAGGAGAAAGCAGGGCTCTTGCTCCGGCTAATACCATAAAAAACAACTTGCTCACCTGTAATCCTAGCTACTCAGGAGACTGAGATCTGAGGATCTCAATTCAAAGTCCGCTGAGGTAGAAAGTTCTATGAGATTCTTTTTTCTTTTTTGTCGGTCGTGGGGCCTGATCTCTGGGCCTGGGCGCTGTCCCTCAGCTCCTCAGCTCAAGGCTAGCCCTCTACCACTTGAGCTACAGCGCCACTTCCGGTTTTCTGGTGGTTTATTGGAGATAGGAGTCTCACGGTCTCTCCTGCCCTGGCTGGCTTTGAACTGCGATCCTCAGATCTCAGCCTCCTGAGTAGCTAGGATTACAGGCATGAGCCACCAGCGCCCGGCCTCTATGAGATTCTTATCATCAATTAACCACCAAAAGGTTGGAAGTGGATCTGTGGCTTAAGTGAGAGAGTACCAGCCTTGAGCAAATAAAGCTAAGTAACAAAGCCCAGGCACTGAGTTCAAGCCTCAGGATTGGCATAAAAAATAACCAAGCCCTATTGAAAGAAATAAAATTGGGGGTGGGGGACACAGGGAAGGTGGCTCAGTGGTAGAGTGCTTACCTGGCATGCATGAAGCCCTGGATCCGATTCCTCAGTACCAAATACGCAGAAAAAGGCCAGAAGTGGTGCTGTGGCTCAAGTGGTAGAGTGCTAGCCTTGAGCAAAAGAAACTCAGGGACAGTGCCCAGGCCCTGAGTTCAAACCCCAGGACTGGCAAAAAAGAAAGAAAGAAAGAGAGAGAGAAAGAAAGAAAGAAAGGAAGGAAGAAAGAAAGAAAGAGAGAGAGAGAGAGAGAAAGAAAGAAAGGAAGGAAGAAAGAAAGAAAGGAAGGAAGCTGTGAAGCATTGCAGTTTACTTAGCATAAAGTTGTAGTAGAAAAAAGGAGATTCTGAGATTGCTGCCTTCCAATTTTTTTTTGTTTTCAAGTGGTTCTTCCTGGGCTGGGTGCAATGCCTCATTTATATAATACCAGCTACTAGAAGATAGAGATCTGGAGAATCACAGTTCAAGGCCAACCTGGGAAAAAAGTTAAGGCGACGACCTCAATAAATTAGCCAGGTGTGGTACTGTGCATTTACTCAGGAAGCAGAAGTGGGAGATTCTCTGTTTCAGGCCAGCCTTGGGCAAAGACACAAGTTTCTTTTTTTTTGGGGGGGGGTGGGGGGTCCGTCCGGTCGTGGGGCCTGAACTCTGGGCCTGGGCGCTGTCCCTCAGCTCTTCAGCTCAAGGCTAGCGCTCTACCACTTGAGCCACAGCGCCACTTCCGGCTTTTTTCTTTTTGCTTATGTGGTGCTGAGGAATCGAACCCAGGGCCTCAGGCATGCAAGGCAAGCGCTCTACCACTGAGCCACCTTCCCAGCCCCAAAGACACAAGTTTCTATCCCCAAAATAAAGCATCCAGGTGCTGGGGGCTCACGCCTGTAATCCTATCTACTCAGGAGACTGATACCTGAACATCACAGTTGCCCAGGCAGGAAAGTCCATGGGACTCCTATCTCCAGTTAACCAGCAAAAAGCCAGAAGTAGAGTTGTGGCCCAAGTGGTAGAGCACTAACCTTGAATGGAAAAAGCTAAGGGACAGAGCCCCAGGCCCTGAATTCAAGCCCCAGGCCCAACACACACCCACACAAACATGTTTACAGTAGTAAGCCAGCCTCTGTTTCGGATCTTTATATTTCTAAAGCTTGGGAACACCTGGGCTGAGTGACACTTGGGCTGCCCTATGGTGGACGCCGTCCAGAGGCTCAGCCCCGCCCACTCACGCCCTTCCCCTCCCTGTCCTCTGTCCCAGTTCGGGATGAATGCTCTTCTCCTGTCCGCCTGGTTTGGCCACCTGCCGGTCCTGCAGGTCCTGGTCAACGCTGGGGCCAAGATCCACTGTGAGAACAAGGTAACCAGGGGCTGTGCCCACCTCCCCTGCCCTCCTCCCCTGCCCCAGCCTCTCCAGAACCTTCTGGAAAGCCCTGATGAGCTAAGCTGAGTTCAGGGAAGCTTCTATCTGACTGCCTTCCTGCGTCTGGGAAAAGGGAGGGTGTATGTGTGTGAGGGAAATGGGGGTTGGGCGGGGATGGGTGGGTACCCCCAGTTCATCATACACAGCACAGCCCCTCTGAGGACACTCTTGAGCCCTCCCGCCAGTGGCCTTCTTACAGAGAGAACCCCAGCAGGCACCCCAAAGGGCAGTTAGGAAGACTGGAAAGGTCTGTATGGTTAGGTCAGCTTCCGTTTACCCACCCAGTAAACTGTTCTAGGCTTGGGAGCTGACCCCTGATGATCTCGTGTGTGTGTGTGTGTGTGTGTGTGTGTGTGTGTGTGTGCAGGGAGGAGGCCCAGAAAGTCATAATGCCTGGATTTATTTATTATTTATTATTGCCTTTTCAGGGGGGTCAATGATGTCTCTCTCTCTCTCTCTCTCTCTCTCTCCCTCCTCTCCTCTCTCGCCTCTCTCTCTCTCTCTCTCTCTGCTAGTCCTGGGGCTTGAACTCAGGGCCTGGGCACTGTCTCTGAGCTTCTCTTGTTCAAGGCTAACACTACCATTTGAGCCACAGTGCCACTTGTGGCTTTTTCTGTGTATGTGATACTAAGGAACGGAGCCCAAGGCTTCATGCATGCTAGGCAAGCACTCTACCATTAAGCCATGTTCCTAGGCAGGTCAATGGTCTTTTAGGAAAGGCCAGCATTTCCAGGCCAAATCCCTTCCAGAAGGTATTTTCAACCTGGGTACTGGGAAAGAATTCAGGGCACCAATGAACTTGGATTTTTTTTTTTTTTTGGTCCTTTGTGGGGCCTGAACTCTGGGCCTGGGTGCTGTACCTCAGCTCTTCAGCTCAAGGCTAGCGCTCTATCACTTGAGCCACAGTGCCACTTCCGGCTTTTTTCTTATGTGGTGCTGAGGAATCGAACCCAGAGCCTCAGGCATGCAAGGCAAGCGCTCTACCACTGAGCCACCTTCCCAGCGCCGATTAATGTTATTTTATATGATCAGAGGCACTTAGGCCTGGCGCCTTTGTGTTCCTTTGGTCTCACTGTGTGTGAACACCCAGAGTCTTGTATAATTTGTCATATCTCTGTGTATTTTAGCCTCCACATATGAGAGAAAATCTGAGCTTGGCTTACCTCATTTATCATGAGTATTCTAGGTCCTTGCAAATTACATAATGTTATTCTTTTTAATGGCTGTGTAAAATTCCATTCTGTATAGCTACCACATTTTCTTTCCGTTTTTGTTTTTGTTTTGCCAGTCCTGGGGCTTGAACTCAGGGCCTGGGCTCTGTCCCTGAGCCTCTCTGTGCTGAAGGCCAACATTCTACCACTTGAGCCACAGTGCCACTTTCTACTTTTTCTGTGTCTGTGCTACTGAGGAATTGAACCCAGGGCTTCGTGCATGCTAGGCAAACACTCTGCCACTAAGTCACATTCCCAGCCCATATTGAGGTCCTTGATCCACTCTGAGTTGATATTTGAGGGAGTCAGAGGTTTTTTTTCTTTTTTCTTTTCTTTTTTTTTGGTTGGTCGTGGGGCTTGAACTCTGGGCCTGGGCGCTGTCCCTCAGCTCTTCAGCTCAAGGCTAACGCTCTACCACTTGAGCCACAGCACCACTTCCAGTTTTCTGGTGATTAATTGGAGATAAGTGTCACGGACTTTTCTGCCTGGGCTGGCTTTGAACTGTGATCCTCAGATCTCAGCCTCCTGAATAGATAGGACTACAGGCATGAGTCACCAGTGCCCAGCTGGGAGTCAGGTTTTATGATCCTGATTTGTACAAATGCTCAGCCAGGTAGAGAGGCAGTTGGCCCAGGGCTGGTAGCTGACCTCCCCCAGCCCCTTGGTCATGCGCAGTGTGGTTCCTGCGGGGAGCTGTGGCTGGGATCTGACAGTGGATGAGCAAGCCTCCCTTCACAGAGCACAGGGCCTACCCTGGGCTTGTTTCCAGGATGGCCTGACTTTACTACACTGTGCAGCCCAGAGAGGTCACGTGCCTGTGCTGGTGTTCATAATGGAAGACCTGGAAGATGTGGCCCTGGACCAGGCAGATAAGGTGAGAGCCCTGTGAAGCTACGCGTTCCTCCCATTGATGGAAGTCCAGGTCTTAAAACCAAGAGCCAGCCCTGGGACTTGAACTCAGGGCTTGGTTGCTAGCCCTTAGCTTTTGTGCTCAAGGTTAGCACTCTAACACTTTGAGCCACAGCTCCACGTCTGACTTTTTTGCTGGCTATTTGGAGATGAGAATCAAGGACTTTCTTACCTGGGCTGCCTTCAAACTGGGATCCTTAGATCTCAGCCTCCCGAGTAGCTAGGATTACAGGCGTGAGCACCAGTGCCCCTGCTTGAAGTATCTTTTGGTCATTGGGCAGACTGGATTCCACCTGGAGGGAGCGCTCGGGCAGAGGGCAGGCTGTAGAGCCAAACATGGCCAGTTGCCTCTGGGAGGCGCTGATCAAGGGCTTGATGTGTTAGAAAAGGAAGCATTGGAGGGCTGGGAAGGTGGCTCAGTGGTAGAGCGCTTGCCTTGCATGCATGAGGCCCTGGGTTCGATTCCTCAGCACCACATAAGCAAAAAAAGAAAAAAGCCGGAAGTGGCGCTGTGGCTCAAGTGGTAGAGCGCTAGCCTTGAGCTGAAGAGCTGAGGGACAGCGCCCAGGCCCAGAGTTCAAGCCCTACCACCAGCAAAAAAGAAAAAAGGAGTGCTGCATTCTGCTTCCTGGAGGAGGTGGCCCTTGGTGATTTGGGGTAATGTTGGAAAGAGGATGCTCTGGGAGCTTCAGAGGCAGAAAGGGTCCCTAGTAGGTGGGTTCGGGTGGACTGGAGTCTTGGCCAGAAGGCCAGCGAGGTCTAGGGGCCTCTGGGGGGAGATCTTGCCTTTCAGTAGGCAGCCGGGGAGCTACCAAAGGATGGCAGGGAGAGGGGACCCCCAACAGACTGCTCTTGTGGGGTTGAGTCTGGCCTTTCCAGGCAGGTGTGGGCAGTGAGGACTTTCACAGAGAATATCTGGGGTAAGAGAGGCCAAGTGTGGTTGGAGGCAGAGGCCGGGAGGACCGGGCGAGGAGGCTCACTGACCTCTCCTGGCCAGCTGGGAAGGACGGCGTTTCACAGAGCTGCTGAGCACGGACAGCTGGACGCACTGGACTTCCTTGTGGGCTCTGGCTGTGATCACACTGTCAAGGATAAGGTACTGTGGCCGCGAGGTGCTCAGGCCCCCATCCACCCTTCCCTGTGGGGTACCTCCAAGGGCAGAACCTGGGGCTTCACACCCAGGATGATCGAGGCCTTCTGCTGGCTCCACCCCTGCCCCCTGAGCCCCACGGTACCCTCACTGTGTCCTTCGTGTCCGTATTGTGGCTGAGCCACTGCGCATGTGTCCGTGGACTATGGGAGGATTGGAACAGAGCTGCAGAGGAGGGATTTCAAGTGTATTTGTATGAGCCAGGCGCTGGTAGCTCAAGCTTGTAATCCTAGCTACTCAAGAGGCTGAGATCTGAGGATTGGAGTTTGAAGCCAGCCTAAGCAGACAAACCGAGAGACTCTTTATCTCCAGGGTGCCAGCAAAAAGCCAGAAATGGATCTGTGGCAAAGTGCCAGCCTTGAGTGGTAAGGGAGAATGCAAAGCCCTGAATTCAAGTCCTTTCTCCCTCCCGCAAGTATCAGTATAACACACTGCTGATCCTAAGGGTAATTTGAATATTTTATCGTTAGCCTTCTAAGAAGTCCATAACTGCACCAGCCAAGTGGCTCACGTGCTAGAGTGCCTACCAAACAGGTTCTAGGCCCTCAGTTCAAACACTCCTACCACCAAAATAAGGAGAGAGAAAAAAAAAAAGCAAAGGTAGCCAGGTGCTGGTTGCTGAGATCTGAGGATTTCACTTAAAAGCCAGGCAAGAAAGTCCATGATAGGTTGGGGATGTGGCTCAGTGGTAGAGCGCTTGCCTAGCATGCATGGAGCCTTGGGTTCCATTCCTCAGTACCACATACACAGAAAAGGCCAGAAGTGGTGCTGTGGCTCAAATGGCAGAGTGCTAGCTTTGAGCAAAAGAAGCTCAGGGACAGTGCCCAGGCCTTGAGGTTCAAACCCTAGGACTGGGGGGCGGAAGCGGGGGGGGGGGAAGCAAAATCTGTGAGATTCATTTCCAACCCCCAGAACACCAAAAGTAGAACTGTGGCTCAAAGTGGTAGATCACTAGCCTTGAGCACAGAAGCTCAGGGACAATACCCAGGCCCTGAGTTCAATTGGGGTGGGGGGGAAGAGGGGGGAAAGGTAGGGAGGAGGAAGAGTTCAGGGACGGTACAAAAAGAAAAGAAAAAAAAAACTATAGCTGCTTTGTGTGCTATGTATGTGTGAATCTGTCGTTTAAGGAGATGGGATATTAACATTCTTACTTTAGTGCTTTTATTTTGCTAGTCCTGGGGCTTGAACTCAGGGCCTGGGCACTGTCCCTGAGCTTCTTTTGCTCAAGGCTAGCACTCTGCCACCATTTGAGCCACAGCACCACTTCTGGCTTTTTCTGTATATGTGACACTGAGGAATCGAACCCAGGGTTTCATGCATGCTATTGCAAGCACTCTACCACTAAACCACCTTCCCAGCTCCAAGCTGTATTTAACATTTTTTAAAAATTGATGAACAAATAATTTTCACATTGTTCTTATACAGGTGATGCACAGAGAGTTTGCAGTTACATACTTCACATAAAGAGTGCATTTCTTTTTGCACAAGGTCACCCCTTCCCTCGCTCTCTCCGTTTTCCCCTCCCATCGTCACCCCCAAGTTGTCTAGCTCATTTGCAACCTAGTGTCTAGTGAGTACCACTACTGCATTTGCTCACCCTTTGTCCCTCCATTTCTGTACCCTGCTCTCCCTCCCAAAGACAGATAAACGAACTAGCAAGATGAAAAAAGAAACGAAAAACAGCAGCAAAGAGAAAACAACTCTCTCATTTCTACTTTCTGGTACTCAGTTCAGTATATATTGTTTTGTATGATCAGAGACGCTTTACACAATTTCAACACTGAATCAGGAGTGGAATAAGTCTCGTCTTCAGTGGACTCTAAGCAAACCCCTGTGCTGAATGTGAGTGGCTAGATTCTTGGGTCCGGTCATGGGGCCTGAACTCTGGGCCTGGGCACTGTCCCTCAGCTCTTCAGCTCAAGGCTAGCGCTCTACCACTTGAGCCACAGCACCACTTCCAGCTTTTTTTCTTTTTGCTTATGTGGTGCTGAGGAATCGAACCCAGGGCCTCAGGCATGCAAGGCAAGCGCTCTACCACTGAGCCACCTTCCCAGCCCTTTTGTTTTCTTTTTAAAGCCCTATATCTACCTTGCCTGTGAGTGGTGTGGACTTGAACTCAGGGCCTTGTGTTCTTACTTGGCATGCTTGCTCACAGCTGGCACTTCCCCACTGAGCCAGGCCTCCAGTCCAATGAGTGTCTGGAAGTGTAAGAAGGAGAAACTAAGGCTTGAGCCTGTACGGCCTTCGCTGTCCCTGTGGCTTTGGACCTGTGGTCTCTGGGCTTCAGCTACTGTGTCTGTAAGATGGGGGGGGGAATGTGTGTGCAGATCCCAGCCGGGTCCCATGAGATTGTGTGATTCTGGGGCTCCCTGTGCCTGCCCCTTAGGTACCCCTCTTCTGCAGGAGGGGAACACAGCCCTTCACCTGGCCGCTGGGCGGGGCCACGCAGCTGTGGTGCAGCGGCTCGTGGACATCGGGCTGGACTTGGAGGAGCAGACCGTGGTAAGGCATGGTGCCATCCCGTCCTCCCTTGGTAGAGGCCGAGAAGCAGAGGCCCTGTCTTCCCTTTGCCAACTGCCTGGGGGGAACAAAAACCCAGCCACATCCCAGAACTCGGGGTGAGAGGGCAGGTTGGGGGGGACTCAGGATGTGTCCGGGGTGTTCAGGGAAGGCTTCCTGGAGGAGGCGGAACAGGACCAAAAGATGAGCAGAGATACAGGGATGGGATTGTGGTGCTATGACGTCACCCAGGAAGACCAGCAGCTCAGAGGCCGCTGGCCCCCAGCCACAGGCCTGGCCCTCACCCCCCTTGCCCTGCATTTCAGGAAGGCCTCACGGCCCTGCACTCGGCTGCTGAAGGAATCCACCCGGACTGTGTGCAAGTCCTCCTCAGAGCCGGGAGCAGCGTGAATGCCCTCACCCAGGTAGCCGGGCCCTGAGTGGTTTTGAACTCTAAGCCCACAGACAAAGCTACGGCATTTCCTGAACGTTTCATGGTGTGAATGCAGAGAAAGCACACCCAGGTTCTGGTCTTGGTTCCTTTTCCCTCCCCCCAAGCTCTGTGAGCTTGGGCACCTGGCTCACCCTCTCTGAGCCCTGTTTCCCATCTAGCATCTATGTTAAGCTGGGCACCCAGCGGCTCACCCCTGTAATCCTAGCGCATCAGGAGGATTGAGGTTGGAGGCCGGCCAGGGCAGAAAAGTCTACAAGAATCCCATCGCCAAAATAACAAGCCAAAAGCAGGTGCTGGAGGTGTGGCTCAAGTGGTAGAGCGCCAGCTGAGCAAAGCAAGCTGAGCATGCGCAAAGCACCGGGGTCAAAACCCTGCAACTTGCATATCTCAGGGTCTCCTCAGCCTGGCACACTGGAACAGTTGGGTACTGAAGTGGGGCCTGACTGCTGTGTTTCCCATCATGGGTCTCAGCTCTCCCAGCTGACTGCAGGAGCCCAGGGAGTCTCCTGCAGACTCGCTCAGACATGAGGGCATCAACTGCAGCTGGCCAGCAGGTGTCGCTGTGGCCTTTGCCCGTGGCACTGGCTAATCTGGTCTGTCCTCATGTGTGAAGTCATCTTCTCAAAGTCAATTATCTGTATTTCTTGGCTGGCATGCTTTGGTCTGTGTGCCAGAGCTTATGACATGAGTGACAGGCAGGTTGAGACCATAATAGTCTCCTCTTTTTTTTTTTTTTGAAATCATGGGTTTTTTGTTTTGTTTCGCCTCAAGGTCTGGGCACTGTCTCTGAGCCGTTTTTTGCTCAAGGCTAGTGCTTTACCACTTGAGCCACAGTGCCACTTCTGCTTGTCTGGTTGTTAATTGGAGATAAGAGTCTCATGGACTGGGCTGGGAATGTGGCTTAGTGGTAGAGTGCTTGCCTAGCATGCATGAAGCCCTGGGTTCGATTCCTCAGTGCCACATAAAAAGAGAAAGCCAGAAATGGCCCTGTCACTCAAGTGGTAGAGTGTTAGCCTTGAGCAAAAGAAGCTCAGGGACAGTGTCCAGGCCCTGAGCCCAAGCCCCAGGACTGGCAAAAACAACAACAACAATAACAACAACTTAGCCGGGCACTGGTGGTTCACACTTGTAATCCTAGGTACTCAGGAGGCTGAGATCTGAGGATCACGGTTCAAAGCCAGCCTGGGCAGGAAAGTCCTTGAGACTCTTATCTCCAATTGACCACCAGAAAACCACAAGTGGTACAGTGGCTCAAGTGGTAGAGCGCTTGCCTTGTGCTGAAGAGCTGAGGGACAGCGCCCAGGCCCAGAGTTCAAGCCCTACAATCGACAAAACAAAAACAAAAACCCTCTCATGGACTTTCCTGCCCAGGCTGGCTTTGAACTTCAATCTTCAAGTCTCAGCCTCCTGAGTGGCTAGGATTACAAATGCGAACCAGCGGTGCCGGGCCACCATAGTCTCCTTGTAACAAGTCAGCGGGTCTGGGCAAGTCACTGAATTCCCAGATGGAATACGCCTGCCACAGTCTCCCCATTAGGAGACGCCCTGCTGGCACTGACAGCTGTTTCCTTCTAGAAAAAGCGGAGCTGCCTTCACTACGCGGCCCTCAGTGGCTCTGAGGACGTGTCCTGTGCCCTCGTTAGGGCAGGAGGCTGCGTTAATGTGGCTGATCATGTAAGTGTGGGGGCCTGGGTTGAGGGGTTCCCATTGTGAAACACAGAGGAGAGAAACGGCACTTTGGATTGGGGTGGGGCCGGGACCTGAGGAGCTGGCTGCATGGAGGACTCAGAACAGTCCTGTGGATAGACCAGGCGCTCTACCACTTGAACCACAGCTCCAGTTTGGGCTTTTTGTTGGATTTTTTTGGAGATAAGCATTTCTTGGATGTTTGCTTGGGCTGTTTTATTTTTTGTTTGTTTTGGTTGGTTGTGGGGCTTGAACTCAGGGCCTGGGCGCTGTCCCTGCACTCTTTAGCTCAAGGCAAACGCTCTACCACTTGAGCCACAGCGCCACTTCCAATTTTCTGGTGGCTTATTGGAGATAAGAGTCTCAAAGACTTTCCTGCCCAGGCTGGCTTTGAACCATGATCCTCAGATCTCAGCCTCCTGAGTAGCTAGGATTACAGGCGTGAGCCACCAAAGCCTGGCTTTGGGCTACTTTTTTTTTTTT